CCAAAAGACCTAACCCTACAGCAAAACAGCCCCTGACTGTAAGAAATTAGTATCTGGAACTGTATCTAAGGGCTGGCTATAGAAGGTACCATCTAGTGTGTATTTTCTTCATTTTGAATATTTGAGTCTTGCTGTATATGGCCTATTAGCTGCTTTTGTATGCTCTATACTGAAGTAGAAAAATGTATATTGTGTGAGCATGATGAAGTTATTGTGGGGTAAAAGAATAGTCTCAGCTAGTGTATGATGAAAGTATTCACATATACAGTGGGTGCATCTACATATTCATTAATGTGCAGTACTTACTGTGCATTTAATTTAGTACCTGTATAATCAACTATAGTTACTATGTTACTACACTGTAGTACCAGCAAACATCTTTTTAGTGATGCTATTGTGCAGTAGCCTAATAATACTGCACAGTAGTGTATTAGCAGTTTGCTGCGATGTGTTTCTACGCAGTGTTGTTGGGCTACTGCACATTGTGTCCCATGTAGACATGCCCAGTTACCCCAAGGTAAGTGGAACTTAAAGCAGGGTAGTTTTAGGCCTCCTACTTTTTTTTTATTACTGTTTGTGTGCTGTGGAGTCTCATTCTTTACTCTGTGCATGTTCACCCTCCTCCTGCAGGGTGTTGCTTTAGCCATGAATAAGTTTTATTTCATTTTTGGTGTTGCTGTTTCCCTATTTATAAAAAAAAAAAAAAATGTGAAACCGTACCTTACCTCTGCTCTCAAACAAAGGTATTTGTGTTGCTTTTCCGAAATACTAGCCACCTGCAGTTTCAAGGAAACATTAAAGCAGGCCCATTTCACATGTATGTCTGTTTGTGCCTAAACAGAATGGCCTCTGAGATTAACTTCATAAGATGACCCTTAATATGAAGCGAGGAAATGGTTGTGGTTTTGAACAGTAAATACTGTAGCCCTATTTACTATGTTTAAATATGAGAACTTACACTTCAAAGACTTGAAAGTAGGACTATGCTTGCTTATTCTTTTTAAATTAGTTATCCAGACACTTGCAGAATCTATCCTGATTTGGAAGTAAATACAAGATTACCAGTAAACTTTGACACAGGCCACATAAGCTTAGCTTAATAAGGACCCTGTAGCAACTTATAGAAATGCAGATACTACAACCACTCACTTGAATAGTACAAGGCAAGTGATAGAACTTGTTGCTAAGGAAGCCTCTTAAGAAAAAGCAGCAGGTAAAAAACACAAACCTGACCCATTCACCAGGAACAGCATAAGAAACACCAACAGGAAAATAAAATTGGTGCCCTAGGAAGAGGAAGGAAAGAAACTGGATGATCTAGTGATAGTGAGAAGTGAATCGATTACAACTACTACTTGAAGTAGGAAGTGAAATTTGAAAGTGTTGCCTGAGTTATGCCAGTGTGAAAACCCTAAAGCAGAGGTGAGTAATGCAAAGGCACAGGCTATGAGTGGGTGCTAGAATCCAGGACTGTCATGACTTTTTTCTCTCCATCATCATCCATGCTACCTCCCTTTATTCCCGTCTATTGTGGTTTGCCTATTCTTACCTGCCCCACCCCAGGTACTCAAATAACTCACTGCACTTCTGTGTTTCTGCAACTACAGTAACCAACCTGTAGAATTGGCAGCTGATAGTTAAGTGAAGGAGTGTTTGTGGTTTTGCAGGAGCAGCAGTTTTAAGAACGTCGAGTCCAAAAGTGGATACCTGGAAGTCAAATGTCAATATACTGCTTTTTCTAGCTACCTTTTACACCATTTCAGGCACATACAAAGCATTTTGTCACAGGTCCATGACAATTCTGTTCCTATTTGATCAAGGGCTTCTGGCTTTTTGTAATAGGAAGTAATGTACACAATCATGACAGACCCTCCCAAGGGAGCATTTTTATTTTTAAAAATTAAAACCACTTAAATAGAAAATAGTGAGACCAAATAGTTTGTGACTTTAAAGAACAGTTTTTTAAGCCTAGAGAAGAACATGGTAAAAGGACTTTAACTGTTCAGAATCAGAACTTTTAAATGGAGTAAATATTTACCATTAAAATCATTGAAAAATTTTGCATCAGAAATTACACCCTTTTAAATTATGCTACCTAAGTCCCTGCTTACTAAGTAACATGTTCTGTACCTTGCTGAAATGCTTTTTTAAAATTACCTGATAGTGAAAGTTTCAAGGAACTCTTGCAATTCAGCTCAACTATTTAATCCAGCTTTAATTAAAGCTATATTCAAAGCAGACCTTGTTTTCAGTTTATTCCTTCTGAAACCAAATTACATTTGTAGTGGGTTTGCTTCTCTGGTTCTCTTGATGCCTGCAGGATGCACCTGGGCTAAAGTTTCACTTTTTCCCCCTTGAAATAAAAATGCATGGAGAGACATGGCCACAGCTGGTCTTCCCCCCAACATGCCAGTTCTATGCTGGTCTGGCAGCAAATAGCTACTGTGGCATGTCTCTGGAGGATTTTTCCACCAACTCAAGCTGTGCAGCAGTTATTACACAACTGCTTTCCTGGAGCTGACAGTGCAGAAAGCATGGTCAGAATATTACTGTGGCTCAGCTATTCCTGGCTGCTGGAAATCTACCTCGGGCCCAGGGGGGCCTAAAGTACTCATTGGTTCTGTAACCATCAGGCTGCAGCCAAAATCACAGCTTACATAAAGCTGTAAGCTGTGACTGACACATCCCTTCTGTTCCGGAAGGGCCCTTCTACACCTCTAACTCCCAAACTTGTGGGCTTGCTAACACACACCCTGACATTCTCTCAAACACTGTAGCTTACATTGCTGTTTTACTTTCTTTCACACTTGCAGAACTGCAGTGGGACAGGTCAGTTCTGACTATAGCCTGTTGCTCATGATCAAATCCATCTTCAATGCACTGTCTTAGCTGTGCTGTTCAATTCTCTCCCACAGTGTTTGCCTTCTGTTTATTGCAGGCCCATTTGAGGGACTTCAAAAAGCTTGCTCCTTTGGGATTTTTTTCAGTTCATGAATACTCAATCTTTTACTTGGATATCTCTACTCAGTTTTACTATGAAGGAGAAACAGTCTGACATATTTGGATGAGAAGTTTATGCTTTTTTGGGCTTGACACAAGAGCCATGTTAAAAGAATTTCAACATGAGATTCCAAATGAGCTTAGTCTCAGACTAAACACTATAGTGCAAGTAACAGCTATATAACAAATGTCAGACAATAATTTAAGGGCATTTCACCCTCAGCATTAGCATTTTGACAGACTAGTTTAAGGCTGTCACTTGTATATGTAAAAATATTTGCAGAGATAAGTTAGTGTTAATAAACTATAATCACCATGTGTTTACAATGATGAACTGAAAGACTTTAAATACAGGATTAATACCTGAGTATGGGTTTTTCACTTTCCACACCCTTGTTAAAAGCCACACACCTTCAAGTACCTCCAGCCCTCCGACCTGTAAAACTGAAAGGCACTAAACTTATTTTACATTGATATTTCTTCGTTTTGTAGGAGACCACTTAATACAGACACTTGTAGCATAGCACTGATTCTAATAAAAACAGTTAAATACATAGTCTCTCCTGTACTGACGATATGCTAAGATTTTTCAATTAGTGTCTTCATTTTTCCTGTAGACTTCAGCATGTGTGGTCCAAACTGAAAGAAAGATAACAGATTCATTGAAGTGTGCATATGATACACACACTCACATGCAACTTAAACATATATGTGATGTCTCATATATGGGAGACTCAGGAAGTAAGTGGAATAATTTATAATCCATCCATTTCAGACTCAAATAATCACCACTTATCTTTTGTCACCTTCAAATTTTGCCTGGCTTCTGTGGCAGTAGATGATTCAGACCAAACTAAGTCAAATTGGGCAAGGTAGCCAAAAAAGTCAGAATTTCCTATCAGCAATTAAGTAAAGTTAATCAGGAAAAGGGACAGTCTGTTAAATTTAAAGACCCTCCCATCCACCCCCAGCAAAGAAATGTGCATCTTTCAAAAATAGTGTACCATTACTGTTTAACAACTGGTCACCCTCACTAAGTATTCTTGTAGCAGTGCAAGTGTTCTACCACTGATAACTATCTTTTTCCTTGCATGACCTCTTCAAACCGTCATGGTGACATAAGGAGGACTGAACCAAAGAACAGGTGTCTACACGCAACTAGCAACAACAGATGAGAGGTATTTAAAGAAAAAAACCCCCAAACCTCTGATAATGTCAGCAGCACAATATTCTTAGGTAACAAATGTCAGGAAACCCTTAATTAAGTTCTGTTAACCTTTGTGGGGATGTTCACGTCTAGCTGAACCAAGAGATGAGTCCCAACCAAACTGAGACGGCAAACCAGTCCATACTATGATGGTGACAGCTCATCTCTGTTTTTTCCCTAAAAGCCCCAAATGCAGGAGGCAGGTTTAAACAGGCGTAATATTCTTTTAAGAAATTCTAGTTGTTGTAAAAGAAAGCCTGGATATGATATAAGGGCTTGTAAAACAGAAGGCAAATATACTAGATACTTAAAAAGCCTGCATTAATCAGTAACTTTATCTTGCTGGGATCCTATGATCTCTGCTGACTTCCTGCCCCTTGGGCAGGGGGCTGGACTTGATGATCCTCTGGGGTCCCTTCCAGCCCTAGTGTCTATGAAATCTAATTCTGCCTCTCTCCCTCAAACATCATATCCAGAATATAACCTGCTATCAAGTCCTCCTAGTCTTTTAGTTTCTCTGTGGCTTGTTTTTGCTTAAATTTCCCAGGATAAGTTAAATGCAAGACATGAATCCAAACATAATTTATTCTTCCTTTCTGGTTCCCCTACACTAGCACAATACTGCAGCGACTGTTCTCCAGCAAAAGCTACATCAAGTTTCTCTTCTAGGTTTTTTGTAAGATATGTAGATGCTAGAACAGGGGTTGGCAATGTTTTTGGCCAAAGTGCCCAAAACACTCCAGCCTTCATCCATGCCTTGACTTGGGATGCCAGAGGTGAGGGGGGGCTGGGGAGCCTGATCCTAATCGCTCGTGGTGGCTGCACATGCATCTCTGAGCAGATGGTGGGGGAGGGGCTGGGATGCGGCTGCCCCAGCCCTTGCACCACCATGTGCCATGAAGAATGCATGCAGCAGCTGCTGCCACAGAGCCAGTGCCAGGGCTCTGGAGCCTAGTACAGGTGTTAGCAGTCTGCCTGTCACCTGCTGCAGCGGCCCGGGGGGGGGGGGGGGGGGGAGCCAGGAGGCTGCAGACAGCTGTGCTGGGCTCCACAGTCTCAGCTCCATGGTGGCAGCTGCTGCATGCATGCCTCCAGGCAGATGGGAGGGGAGGGGCCAGGGCTGCACTGCCCCAAGCCCCTTCCTGGCCATGCGCCTGGAGGCACGAACACAACCACTGTGGCCAGTACCGAGGTTGCAGAGCTCCATGCACCTGTTTGTAGCCTCCTGGCTGCAGCCAGCCTGGGCTTGGGGCAGCTGCTGCCTGCCACAGGGCCTGGTCTACCTGCAGCCTCCTGACTGCCCAGAGCCCAACCCAGCTGTGGTATGCCATGAAAAACTGCCTCACGTGCCATGCTCTGATGTGTGCTGGAACATAACTTGCAATCCTTGAACATTTGCTCTGTGATAAAAACTTTTAGTTAAAAGTTAAGGGAGTTTTCCCACTTCTGTCTTGGATCTATATTTTTTATAAAGATATGCTGTTTTTGTGTTAAGGACCTAGTGATTCAATAAAATCTCAATGAAGCAAGTACGGGTTGGGTGAATGGACTTTAAGGTGGACAGAAAACTGGCTGGAGTATCAGGCTCAGAAGGTAGTACAATGGCTCGATGTCTAAGCAGCAGCCAGTATCAAGGTGGTCTTGGGTCTGCTTTTGTTCAGTATCTTCATCGATTAACTTGAAGTGCTGCACCCTCAGCAAGTCTGCACATGACACCAAGCTGGGCAGGGCTGGGAGTAGTAGATATGCTGGAGAGTGGGCTTAAGGTTTCAGAGACCTAGACCATGGTTTTTAACCTTTTTTCATAAGTGTACCCCTGGCAGCCCTACACGGAGCAGCTGGGGGTGGTGGTGCATGGCGAGACACAGAGCAGTGGCAGCACAGAGTGGTGGATGGCAGCAGTAGCTGCCACCACATGCAAGCTTACCCCCCGCCCCACCCCAGTGTCCAACTGGCTGGGCAGCACTGCTGCCCTCACCCCACCCCTGCTCCTGAGAGGTGGCAGCGCAGGGTGGTGGGTGGCAACACTACATCCCCACCTGCCCGCGCATGCCCCCTAGGGCCTTCCCAAGTATGCCCCGGTTGACAGCATAGGTTGCCCTGACCTAGACAAACTGGAGGATTAAATCAAAAGAAGTCTCAAGAGGTTCAACAAGTGCAAAGTCCTGCACTTAGGATGGAGCAATCCCATGCATCAGTACAGGCTGGGGGATGACTGGCTGGGCCGTAGCTCTGCAGAAAAGGACCTGGGGGGTACAGTGGACAATAAGCTGAATATGAGCCAACAGTGTGTCCTTGTTGACAAGAAGACTAACCACCTACTGGGCTGCATGAGTAGGAGTATTGCCAGAAGATCAAGGGAAGTAATTATTTGCCTCTATTCAGCACTGGTGAGGCCATCTCTGAAGTAGTGTGTCCAATTTTGGGCCCCCCACTACCGAAAGGACGTGGACAAGTTGGAGAGAGTCCAGTGAAAGACAACAAAAATGGTGAGGGGGCTGGGGGACATGACTTCACATAAGCCCATTTCTCTCAGCCTCTTGTCTAGTCTGGAGAAAAGAAGACAGAAGATTTAATAGCTTTCAGCTACCTGAAGTGGGGTTCTAAAGAGGATGGAGGTAGACTTGTCAGTGGTGGCAGATGACAGTATAAGAAGCAATGGTCTCAAGTTACAGCGAGGGAAGTTTAGGTTAGATATTTAGAAAAATCATCTCAGTAAGAGGGTAGTAAAACACTGGAACAGGTAATCCAGAGAGGTTGTGGAATCTCCATTCTTGGAATTTTTTAAGACATGGCTAGACAAAGCTCTGGCTGAAATGATAGAGTTGGGGATGGTCCTGGTTTGAGCAAGGGGGTGGACAGTGTTTCTCCACCTGTGGGACACAACCCAGAAGTGGGTCACAAGAATTAAATGAAGGGGTTGTGGGCAAATTTTAAAAATGGATCAAACTTTAAAAATGGAGGAAAACCATGGGTTTTCCCTTGTAGGCTGGCAGAGTTCCAGCCTGTGAGGGAGGGGCTGCTTAGGGCCCCCCTGTGCCTCACCCCCTGCCCCTTTACTCCACATCCCCATTCTCTGCCCCACATACTATGGGGCTGGGGATGGGGGGGGTCAGGACTGGCCACTGATGTTTACAAATGGGTCCTGGTACAAAAGGTTGAGAACCACTGGACTAGATGATGATCTGAGGTTCCTGCCAACTCTAATTTTCTATGATGTACACTGTCAACTGAAGTTCCAGATAATAAGTGATCCCTCTAGTATTTGAAACACTTCTCCATCCTCCTTCACTGCAGCGGCTAATGCACAGGTCAGGTTTTCCAGGTTCTCAATGCAGCATCCCCAAAACATAGATCCAGTCCTAACCATGAAAGAGTGCATGTCAGGGCCCAAGAAATTTTGAATTCCTCCACCAAGATCTTTGGTTTTGAGTCAAGTCTTTCTGGTTCAAGTTTTCCAGATAGTTTACAAAATATTCAGGGCATGTTTACATGTGCCCCCCATGGCACAGTTGATGCTGCGCCGTCATTTAGTACTTCAGAAAGCAAGTACTAATGACTGCACAGTGACAGCTGTTACTGTGCCATCCCAGCAGGGCACAGTTATTTTTAGCATTCACAGCAACACACTATAGTGAGGTAGCTCTTCACTACACTGATGTAGTGTCGGTGTCGCTGCTTGAGCTCACCAACACTACATCGCTATAGCGAGAAGCTAGATTGCCACAGCACATCAGTATGGCGATGTAGTGTCACATGTAGATGCACCCTAAGAGACTGAAATTTCCATTAAAAATGAGCTTTTCATAAATCACCTTAATTTCGGTTCAGGGTATGCCGAGAATATGGTCAACTTTTACACAATAATCTGATATTTTGTGATATGCTGCTTTCATGGAGTGCAGAATTAAGCCTTATTACAGGTCAAATATTGCAATACTCACCAGCGCTGTTTCAGACTTTGGAATCTGTTTTTCATTTTCACTTTGGCTATCGCTTCTGTATCGATAAGCAAATTTCTTTTTGAGTGCTTCTGCTATTAATGCTGCAGGATCGGTAGGGTCAGCAGCTTTACACTTTGTACTTTCTGTTGGCCTTGAAAAGGAAAGTGAAAGTGAGCAGTCACAAAGCAAAGCTTTAGGACAAAGTGAGAGCTCTGTAATCCTGTGTTATTTTTCAGGCATTTCTCCATGGACGTGACAGTAAAACTCTGCTTTGCATTTATACAATACACAGTAAGCCATGCACGCTTACCTTTTCACTGCACGCAGCTTTACACTGTTCATATCTTTGAGGATTTCTAGCATGTTTGGCATTTCAGGCTTCTTTGGACCATTATCTGTCAAAGTCTGTGAAGAGTTTATTTTCTTGCCCTTCCGCTCTTTAATGAGATCAATAGCAGACATACTCTGCTGCAGGGTGGGAGGAGGAAGAGGTGGTGGTGGTGGCGGCGGCAGCACTGGACCAGAAGGTGAGGCAATAGGACTTAATCCGGCTATAACATACCAAAAATACATTCCAAGTAAGAACAAAGTGCCCTTTTTAAGCTTAATACAAACAAGCAATAGAAACAAGGATCTCATTGCAGCAGCTGCACCATCGGTGTGTGTTTTCTTTCTAGAATATGTCTCATCATAAGAAAATTTATCATATTTCAGTCCTAAGCCTCCTAAAGCATTCAAGTGAAGATCTCTGCTCTCAAAAAAAAAAAAAAAAAAAAAAAAGAAGCTAGTGAGTTTCCAGTCCAAAGTCCAGATGCAGGTTTGCACTAGATCAGGGATGCTCAAGCAGGGTGCTTGGGCACCCCTGGGTGTTGAGAGATTTTTTTGAAGGGGGTGCCTCGAGTTGTGAGGAGATAAGGGCAGACTCAGGTTCCTTCCTGCCTGGCTCTTCTGCAAGGATAATTGTTGAGAAGTTTCTTTTTAAGGTAATTTTGCTCAATTCAAAGTTATATAGGGGTGCCTTGAGTCTAAACAAAAAAGCTTCCTTGAACACTAGGAATTATTTCTACCTACCCTGGCCTCTTCTTAATGCTATCAGTTTTTTTTATGATGCTACAAGATGTTTTGACAGAGTCATGTTGACTAAAAATCTATGCTTAGAAGTAACTAACTGTTAGGGGCATTTTTGCAAGACAGACAATGATTACTAGAACACAGAATGTTTACTTGCAGCAACTCTGGTGGTCAAAGTTAGATTGCAGATAAAGCTGCTTAATGACCATCTTCAAAATACCCAGGTAAGTAGCAATTTTTGCTGAGTGTCTTTGAAAATGAGTGGTTTCTCAAGCAAGATTCTTGAATGTGAACTGCAGAATCTGGATGCTTGCATTCAAGTTAACAGAAATTAAGTGAAGATGTCTAAAAAACAGTTATCCAATTTTTTTTTGAGAGGCTTGATAGTGTTATATCTGAACTGACTGGGCTGTTAAAGCAACCTAAATTTAAAGCTCCATGCAATGCTTCAAGTGAACACAAAGTCAGCTTCTCTTATCACAGAAGTCTTAGCAAATGAGGAAGCAAAAACTATTTAGGAAACTGCTTCAGATAAAGAAAGTTCAACATTCATATCTTCAGAATCGATAACTGAAGTTAATGCTCTAACTACAATTTTTTTTGACAATTTAATCAAAGTGAATTGAACTATCTAGGATAAGATATAACCTAGGAATTGTCTGCATACTTATGGCAGTTACTATATTCTACCAGAAGAGGGAGGTAATGGTAACAAAACAAAGACTAGAATTAAAAGAGCCTTCTAAAAGTAAAGAACATTAACATAATGTATTTATTACCTGGCCAATAATAATTCAACATGTTTACAAGCATGTGAATTTTAAGCTACTCTGCCTTCATGAAGAACAGACCTAAATTCTTAAACTATTTCATTGCAGTACCTTAAACAGCACAAACACAGAGAATAAAAGTGTTGCTCACCTGCTGCAGACCTGGATACCAAACTCCAAGCTCTTCTAAAGAAGAATTACAAATGAATTACAGGCCTATCTATTCTCAGCTTTCCCACACTCATCAGTTTCTCATCTTATATGCATAAGAGAGAGGTCTGGATAGCCCCTATAATCCCAGTTAGTAACACACAATCGAAACAAATTGGTGGTAAGTGCTACAAAACAGCAAAATTGTTATGCAGTGGCAGGATGGAGACGAGGGCAAAAATGGTTATTAACATTCACGCTCAAAGTGTCATGTAACTTTTGGCTTCTGGGTGAACAGAAATTACCGCATTTCATCTGGATGATGGTTCTAGAAACAATTTGACTCTCTCCTCCTGTCTCAAGGCCTCGTTTGATGTTGCACTGGCCAGTATATTTCACATGAAGCATTTAAACTTACTAATTACTACTTGCAGACCAGTGAGCCAACACTATTAGATAACACAATGGCAACACAGAAGTAGCTGTTGGAAATTACAATTCTATACATCCATCCCAAGTGTGATAAGATGGGTTTATTCTGATAGTGAAAGGTCTAGTGGCACCATGCTCAGTTTTTGCTTGTATCTGTTTCATGAACCTTTTAACAAGTATATTTTATTACAAAAGTATAATTAAGCATCTCATGACACTACTGATAGACTATACTGAAAATCTACTAGAGCTTCTTACATCCCAGTCACATCCTTTTCTTTTACTTTCATTGATGTCTGTGGTGGGTTTTGTTTGGAAAGTCCTACTGAGGCGGATTCAAAATTCTAAAAAAACCCCTACGAATTAGGAACAAAGCTAAAGGTCTTGCTCTCCCTGATCCCTTGGAGAAACATCTTATATTCGCTTTATTAGTTTCCACATTTATAAATACATGAACTACAAACATGGAATTCTCCTGCTTGGACTGAACTGAAGATGAGCAACTACTGCCAAGCCTGATCTGAAGTTATGATCTCATGTTACAGACATGACAGGTTTCATCTGGATATCCACTAGGTCTGAACTGCCTCAGGCAGATGTCTGGGAGTTGCTGCCACACCCAACAACAGTACCATGAAAACTTGTCTGTCAACTGCTACTCAAATCACTGTAAACACCATTTGCTGGTTAGGAGGGAAGTTTGATAACAAAAGCAAGGCTCAAGGTCACTCCAAATATCACGTGCCCAAGACAGTTCACTAGCAGTAGCTACTGCTTGTTCAGAGGACCTAGTAAATGGCACATACAATTTTTCTCTCGCTGAAAGGACTGTAAAATTAAACCTTAAGAGTCCAGATGTAATTTTTAAAAAGAACTGTATGCATATCTCGCCTGCAAGTATATTTTGTACTGTGCTGTCTTACTCTTCAGACTGTATTATGGAATCAAGTGCTGCTGCTTCTACAATGTTATATAGATAGATTCAGTTAGTTATATCTATCTATCTATCTGATCTAAGGTTTTTGTGTTTTTTTTTTTAGAAAAATCTAGATATAACCTCTTTTTCTCAGTTGCAAGTACTGTTATATTTATGTTGCTGTCATTCCAGGCAAATCAGTACTTGCAACTCTATGAACACCACATTTAATCCTGCAAGACCTCACATAAATATATTCATCTTATTAATTAAAAAAAGAGGCAGACTCCTTTAGTTTCATTAGATGCAAATAAAAAAGCAAGTTCAGTACCTGCTGACAGATTCTGCTGTTCTTGCAAAGTTACAATTTTGGCTATTTGTGCCCTTAAACTGGCAAGTTCATTTTCTAGAGCACTGATCTTCTGCAGCGCTTCATCATTTGTGGTCACTTTACTCTTGGGCACTTGCTCTTCTTGAAACAGGTCTGGTAAGGATACTTGTCTAGCTGGGGGACTTTCAGTAGAAGGTGGTTCACCTGGAGGAGGTGGAGCAGATTTTGACCAGATGTCTGACCTGTAACAAACAAACATATACACACACACAGTCATTATCATAAGGCTGTTTGGAATAAAAATGTTTTTTACCAAAGAGGTCAGGGAGTAAAATAACAGTTAGTTGCAAGCTTGGGGAGCAAATATTAAGGTCTGACCTTAAAGAGCTACACAATTTTGGCCTTTTACAAACACATCTCCCTCAACTACTGTAGAGGCAAAATACATGAATCTTTCTGCACATTTTAGTAGTTGGCCCCTTTATAAAAAAAACAACAAAACAACTGACCCTCTCCACAGTATGGGGTCCTAACTGTGGTCATATTTCTAAAGGAGATTGTGTTACTTAATGATCCCAGTTTAAGAACAAAAGACACACAAAGCCATCTTGTAGAATCTATGCGCTCATGGCATTGCAGGCTGATGACCAACTCACCTTTTGCTGCAATTATGGACTCACATTTCAGTAGTGCTTCTCTTAAAAGGAACAGAGAATTTTATCTTAAGAATATTTAAATAAAATACACTAAAATGCTAGAAAACACAAGACCTCTGTGCAGGATACTGGTGACCAACATATATTCCCATACCTATGGAGCTAATATTCAGACTTCATCCAGTAGGAAGATGCAAAAAGTGATGCTGGGTAAAAGAGTAAGATACAACATGGTCCATTTGACATTTCACTCTTCATGCTTCATTCTCTCTCTTTTTTTGGTGGGGGGAGTATTCAGAATTATTAAACTTTGTCCCTTTTGCAACTGAGGCAACCAGTAGACTAGTTTTTACCTAGTGGCCATACGGCTTGCTTGACTAAGCTTCTTAAACTTTTATCTTTTGTTAACTACAGCCGTGAATCCAAAAATAAATACCAAAACGTAGGGCAAATAGGGAAAGGAACATTATCTTAAAATTCCCTGATTTCCCAATACAATTTTTTAGAATAGAGACTCTCTACAAGGTATTTTATGAGAAGGGACAAACATCAACGTTTATTTATACGAGTATATTTACATACCTTAACTGCAGTTTGAAGTGTTTTATCTGAGAATTATTATCTGTTGAAAATTGTTTATGGAGCTCTAATCCCACAATCCCTTATTTACTCCAGTGATCCTAATCAGTGTAATGAATGCCCGTGTGAGCAAGGACTACTGATAATAGCATGTTTTGTTAAATGTGATAAGTTCCTGAATTGCACTTTTTCTAGGTTTAAAAAAAAAAAAAGGCACATACACATTGGTAGAGCCTATCCTTGTTGAACACTTTAAACTCAGCATTCCTGTGCTGAGCCTAGCACACGCCCAGAAGAGGCATCATGTTAGTTGCACCCAGCTCCTCTAATATCTGTACAGATCATGTGCGTTAGCTAAAACCACCAAAAAGTCCTACTAACAGCCAATTGAATCGGTTTTAGATAAAAGCGCCAAAAAGTTCTCACTGAAGCATCAGATCTATACAGATGCTGCAGAGCTGGGTCAAAGAAATACACTGCTGGTTCCAGTAAAGCACGTTTTTTTTCCTTCTACATCTGTCAGTGCCTTTACTGGTTGTTATGGGATGCTGGCTTTATATGCAATAAGGATCAAAGTTTGAATGTTCTGTACTGTTTGTATAATCCTATGAACAAGAAATCATAAATTTAAACCAAGACAAAATTCAGGGACAATGTCAGAAGGGACTTAATCATTTATAATTAGTATGCAGTTCAACCAAATACTGAACACTAGGGCTGTGCAAACCTTTGGTCGCCGATTCGATTCGGCAGAGATTACAGATTTGGAGATTCAGCCACCGAATCGGGCCAATCGAATCAAGAGACCCTTTAATCTCTCCAAATTGAATTGGAACCCTCTGAATCAATTCAGAGAGATATGGAAAGATTTGACAATTTGGACATAGACACAGCTTTAAATTTTTTTTCTACATACCTCAGGTACCAGGCAGCTCGTGAATGCTGAGATGGTGGGGCTGATGAAGCATCCCACAGGAGTGTGAGGGGGGTCCCCAGCATGCTTGGGTGCAGACCCGGAAGTGGACCAGGCGCACTTCTGGTCCACTTCCGGGTCTACCGCACAGCACATGGGGGTGCTGGTTAAAGATAGCGCCTTTTTAAAACTCACCTGCAGAATGGCTCTTAAAGCGTCTAAGGTAGTAATGAAGGGCACCAAACTACAGCAACTGCTTTGATTTAAAACAGGGGCCTCAAAACATATGATCCAAACACTGGAACCAGCCCCTGTAGCTGCATGATTGGGTCTGTGGGTCTCTGGACCAACCCCACAAGCCACATGGAACATGCACTGTCCCTGACCCGTGCGCTGCATGTAATACAGTGCCAGCTCCAGCCCATACAAGTGCTGCACGCAGCATAGAGGTCAGTGTGCGATGCATACTGCATGCCAGACCATCTCAGTTCAACAAGGAGAAATGCAAAGTGCTGCACCTAGGGAGGAAAAATGTTCAGCACACCTACAGCCTAGGGAATGACCTGCTGGGTGGCACGGAAGTGGAAAGGGATCTTGGAGTCCTAGTGGACTCCAAGATGAACATGAGTCGGCAGTGTGACGAAGCCATCAGAAAAGCCAATGGCATTTTATCGTGCATCAGCAGATGCATGACGAATAGGTCCAAGGAGGTGATACTTCCCCTCTATCGGGCGCTGGTCAGACCGCAGTTGGAGTACTGCGTGCAATTCTGGGCGCCGCACTTCAAGAGGGATGCGGATAACCTGGAGAGGGTTCAGAGAAGGGCCACTCGTATGGTTAAGGGCCTGCAGACCAAGCCCTATGAGGAGAGACTAGAGAACCTGGACCTTTTCAGCCTCCGCAAGAGAAGGTTGAGAGGCGACCTTGTGGCTGCCTATAAGTTCATCACGGGGACACAGAAGGGAATTGGTGAGTATTTATTCACCAAGGCGCCCCCGGGGGTTACAAGAAATAATGGCCAGAAGCTAGCAGAGAGCAGATTTAGACTGGATATTAGGAAGAA